TTACGCTGCTCACTGAGACTTATCAGACGAGGTAAGAATGGCGCAACACAATAATTTGTTACTAGAAAGCTATTCATTATGATCAAGAAGGTTTCCTTAGATAATAAGAAATTGTTGTTGGATGATTTATACAGCAGAAGGTAACTGATTGCTCGAACAAGTAAACCAGGAACACCACCAGTCAATTCCAACAACAATTCTGCAAGTTCACTAGTTGAGAAGTCTTCGTGACAAAGAATTTCTGAAACCTTTGGGCTCCCAGGGAATAAAAAGCAAGAACTTTTCTCCAAATGTTCCACGATACTATGGTTCTCAAGCGGCGAAAGAGGAATAAACACTAACTGAACTCTTGAGACTGAAGCTACGTAATTATATATATTTAAGCCTTCACTTTTCCCAACAACTATAAAAAACAAGTCGGGTTCTTTACACAACTCACGAATAATACCGAAAAAGTCGTTGTAAGGTCGAACCACACCTTTGTCATTCTTCTCCAGTTCAAAAAAGGTTCCCTTTGTATCAAACACACCAACTTCATCAAATGCCACAAGAAGATATTGATCGGAAGGAATGTTTAAGATTGAACGGATTTTCTGGACCAAAGCATCACTCCTAAGTTTTAGTTCCTTGAAACATTCGTCCGGGTCTGGTTGCGGAAGACCTGATTGCAAAAAAGCAGCCTTTACTAACAAATAGTAGACTGCCCACTTTAGGTTGCGTTCTTTCGGTTCTGTGGGCTCCAACTCCCTCAAATCCACAAAGAGCAATGAAGCCCTTTTCAGCTTCTCCAGGAAACCTCTTCGGTTGGCCTTCTCAGACTCACCAACGTAATCGAGACCTATCAGTGCACTTTCACCCATATTATTCACCAGTTCCAAGTAACTTTTTACGAATTTTGTCTTCCCACTTCCGAAGAGGTGGGGACCAAAGGGTATGACTGGTTTGAAAGGGATACCAAGTTTACGGAGAGTGTATAGCTGAAATAACTGCTTTGTTACTACACCAACATCTTGTTCTCGGTCTACTACAACCATGTCATATACGGTTTCTGGTTGAAACTCACTAGACATATCGCAAGCTATGAAGTAAACTATGCGACAGTAAAATACAACAATGGTCAATCAATCTTCTTTAATAGTTTCCAATGCTCAAACTCTTGATTGCGACGAAAGTCTTTTGAAGCTTTGAACAAGTCTTGATAAGAACATGATTTGCCTTTTAGATAAAGACTATCTTTCTCATTTTTTTTGTAATAAAGAGTGGATATTGGTTTGTGTGCAATTGTATATAAAAACAACTTCTCTGAGCTATTAGAAAATAGACCAGCTGAGGAACTTTCAACCTAAGGCGAACCATATATAAAGTCTTTGACGAATACAATACCTTGTATAAAACCCATTTATCAACACGTTGGGACACTCTCCTGAGTAGTAACAAGAAGCAAACAAGACCTGTCAAACTGTGACAGTGACTTTTACAACAATAGGCTTATTTTGATTTTCGTGGTTAGTACCATATTAAGACAATAATCCTCAGAGTGAAAGCAAATAAGTTGTAACCGAGTTTCAAACATACAAAAAAAAGTTTATTTGCTCTTCAAAACAAAGGGAAGGACTGAGTTAGAATCTATTGCCAACTTAAGAAACTGTTACGGATTCTATCGAGTAAATCTAATCCAAAATCCCAGAAAGTAGGATTATGAGAAACACAAAATGCTCTTTCAAGTCCATTCAATATTTCTTTGTCAATCAGCATTTGGACATCTCTTTCACAAAGAATAACAAGTTCACAATTATCAGGTACTTTGAACAAATCACCTCCAATAAACATTCCACTGGAGTAACAACGACTCTGATTACCCAACTCATTAGAAACATTCAATGATAACTTTGTACTAACGATAATAAGCATACAATGATGATAATCCACTGCACTGGATAAGACTTGATCATAAACAGGATCTAAAAATTTCTTGGCTTCATCTATAATATCTGACAAGCCAATTCCTTCCGACTTCCAACGTCCTTTACATGCAACTCCAACAGTAAGAACTTTGGGTTCCACAGGAGATTGTAATTTGAATATAATATCAGGACTATGAGAAGTAGCGTCCAAAGGAATGTAAATAGTCTCTAAATAAAGTGTCTCTCGAATAATCTTATTCCATTCAGTATTGGCAAAAGTTCGTCGACTCTTGTTCGATTCACTTTTTGTTTCTCTAGAACTAACAACAGACTTGATATAGTGAATAGGTGATATTGTACTGATTGGAAGTTTCATTTGTTTCCATATCGGAGACAATTGACACAACAATTCTCTCAACTCATTTCGATTCTTTGAAGACAACATCAAAACTAGTCGTAAAGCGACAATTCCTTCAAATACACGACACTTTGAATAGACGAAACAATCTACTGGTTCTACATCAAGTGATTCGAGAAGTATCTTTTCCAAAGAAGAGATGGAAGGGTCTTTCTTGAAGATTCCAACAAATACTTTTGGAATAAGAATTTGGAAAGTATTCTGATCAATAGGATATCGATATAGTCCCATCTCAGTGACTGCATCAAATAGATAAGACTCCGAGGACAATCTATCATCTACTTGAAACGGTATACGATAAAGTGCCATCATCAAAAGTAAATCAAAAACACTTTTTCTATCTTCGTCCAAATTCAATATTCGTTCCACAAATGGTTCAGCACAAATTCTTCGGAAATCGTAGTCATTCATACACGTCAAACATTCTTCTTTCGATATGAAAGGCTGGTTTCTTGCTATTATATAATTCAGAAGCATATTTACTGCACGAGTCAACAAACCAGGAACTCCACCTGTACATTCCAATAACGAATCTGCCAATTCATTTACTGAAAATGAAGAACTACATAAGACATTACAAACTGGAACTTGAGTAGGTGTTTCAAGAAGACTTTTTTGAAGGAACTCAACGATACTGGAAGCGTCCAAAGGTGATAAAGGGATAAAATGTAATATAACTCTTGATAGCCCAAAAGCCACATCATTCTTAATACTTAAACCCTTGCTTTTCCCAACAACAATAAAAAACAAGTCGGGTTCTTCGCACAATTGACTAATGATACCAAAAAAGTCATTGTACGGTCGAACCACACCTTTGTCATTCTTCTCCAGTTCAAAAAAAGTTGCCTTTGTATCAAACAC